TGGGAGAAGGGGGAATATCTGAACGTCAAGATCATTTGCAATCTCGTTTATTTTAAAGAAAAGAGTTTTACCAGCACGGTCGAGTTCCTCGAAGCCGGTGGCATCCAGTGGTGTTGAGGCCCGCTTCTTCAATCGCTTTTGTTGTTGCATCTCCTCATATTGTTGTTTCAGTTCGTAGAACGTCGCAATTAATCGAGATCTGTCGTCACATGGAACAGGGGAACCTTCGAATTGTTTTTCATCATTAATATCATCAGTGTTGACTGAAATATCCATTGAAGCTTCGTTCAAATCACAAAATTCCATCGAATTTAGCTGAGTCGGCGGGAGCGTGTCTGTGACACGTCCTACCTCTTTGGCGTCCATCCACGGAATCTCGTTGTGCGGCAACACAATAGGCGGGAGCGGCTCTTCGTAGTTGGCTCCTCCTTCCTTCTCATCAGTTTGATTTTGTAGAGTCTGAAAACGATTAAATTGTTCAATCTCCATCGACTTGGGATTTGCGGAACCTTTGCAGCTTTCCTCGGTTATTTGTACTCTTTTCCTGAATTTTCAGCAGCTGGGGGGTTCATCAGTTCGCATTTTCTTTCTCTCTGGGTATTTCGTCTGCATGATGCATTCGGATGTTTTCTAAGAGTTCCTTCCACTTCATCAACTCCATGTTTTTTGATCAATGCCATAAGAGCGTCAATTTTTTCTGGTTTGTCAGCCTACTCATCTAAGTCAAAGTTGCTTTTGTTCTTAGTCTTTCTTGCCTTTCCGTGTTTCTCCGAAGCTGCACTTTTCAGAAATTCATCTCTCCTTGGGAAGCTGGGCAGTGAAATCGTAAATTTTTCCGATTCAGCGTAGTCGCTATATTTGTCATCATCACATGCTGGTGTCCTAAACAAAGACATGGTGTACGTAAAGCCCTAAGGTATCACTTACGAAAAATTTTAATCGAGAAGAACAGAGCTAACGTACTACACGTATGATTGTGTGCTCGCCAACGTGTTAGATATGAGCAAAAAAGAGACCTTGAATTATATAGGCGAGAGTTATCCGTGACGTCAAAAATTCAAAAGGCGGGGTTTTTAAAAATACCAATGCTGACTTCTGTTTACTTGGTAAAACTATTCGATATTTCTGTGACGTGAAAGTTCAAAGAGAGAGGTAGAGTTTGCAAATATGTATCCTGTTTTTCAAACAGCTGGTTAACTTACGAATCGCGTAATCTACGTATCCGAGATAATTCACAATCTCATCTAAGAGCAACACATTTGATATCCTTCATTGGCAAATAATAATGGACCACGGATTATACACAGAGTCACTATACTCCGTGTAATGGACACATGTAATACTGAGTTTTATTTTTAAGGCGAGTTCTTCGCGATGAGAATAATGTGACTGAGAAAGACATTCGCAATAGCTTTAGGCTTCGGAATTTTGATATTATAATAATTGCGCTTATAATAATTGCGCTGTTCTTATCTCAAAGATTTAGCGCGGTATAACTGTTCTCTGATTTCTCGCATTTTATTCTGATCAAGTGCATTTAGTTCTTGTTCTTCTGTTGACAGTGTATTTTTAGATAAATATTTTGATACCAAAAATGGGTAAATTTAAGCATATAATGCATATAATATAATCCGATGCATATGTAATTCTAGATGTTTTTGTCCAGACTTAAGGTCCGTCTACACATAGCGATTTCCTCGGCCGACTTAGCTGGCCGACAATATCCTGAGATAGCTCGCCTGTCAACTGGATTCTCGTTGGTACAGGATAATGCTACTCGTAGTAGCTCTAGTGCAAGGTCCGTAGAAGGTCCGTCTAGTGCAAGGTCTACGGACCTTGGCTCTAGTGCAGGAATTCACTAAGCCAGTCACTGTGAAAGGAAGTGTTCCCGCCCTCTACAGCGTCACACTGTCTACGATTTGTAAACAAAGCTTACGGTATTGTCAAATAATCAAAATAATGGAAGACTATTTTACTTTATATTGCTACTATAGATACAGCAACAATTTTGAACTTAGCTACTGCTACAGGAGGGGGTGGAGGAAGTAAAATGCGTTTGGACGAGAAATTGGTTCAAACGACGAGAAATCCATGGCAAGCGTAATATCCTCGAGTTGCGTATTGAAGACAGGGTACAATTCGGAAGGTATTTACGGATGATGCCGCGTGATTTTGATTTTTTGCTAAATTTAGTTTGAGGCAAAATTAAAAACAAATATGCTTTTCCTTTGTGTACTGAGTACACAGATTACTCCTTTTTTATTTTATTTTATTTATTTATTTTTAAATTTCACTTTCTGGCACTAATATTTGTGCACTTAAAAATCTTGAAATAATAAAATAACCATGTTTCAGAAAATATAAGTAACTACTGTGCTTTTATAATCAAAACCTTTATTAATGAATAAATAGGCAATAATGTTATGAATATCATATCAATACGAAGTAAAAAGTAGTAGTAAAAATAAAGATGATTACATATTACAGAAATCTTTGTAATGTGTAATTACAAATTTGTACATTACACATTACATATCAACAGTGTAATTTCAGTGCAAAAATTTCAAATAAGAAATATCATAAAGGTGCAAAGTCTTAAGTAGCATATTCATTGAAAATTAAAAAAATAATATCAGCATAATCAAATAACTAATACAGTCTGAAAATTGTGATCATATGACTCTATTAGTTAATCATCTAATATAATTTAGTAATATTGTATTAAATTGGGCTGTAATTTGTTTACACAAAATTCAATTAACACAAAACTGAGTTTGTCACTTGTGACTTTCTTTCGAGCTGGTACGCAACTACTAAAGTTTTCACCAGTAGATCTAAAACACGTGCCAAAGGCCATTCGAAAAATGAAAAGAAAGGTATTAAAATTCAATAAACACCACACTCGTAGGCGAAAAACTAAAAAATGACTTTTAAGTCATGCAGTTCGAATTTAGTGATGGAGAAGCGAAATTAAAAAGTCCTTGCAGGCGCAGAACGTCCAAAATTAAGGCGGGGGATTGAACCCATGATCTCGATGTCCGGAGATATATTTGTCTGCACTTTACCACTAAACTACACTCGCTCGTGCAGAAGGTGTCGGAAAAGCTATATACTTCGTCACGTGATTAACTCACATTTTCACGAAGTCAACGAGTCTCTGCTGCTTTAAATTCGGATCGTAATTTCTCTACTGGAGATTTTTCTTTTTGAATTTTTTCAATAAGTGCGACCACAGTTTCAAGTAGTTTATGAATATTTTCATCTAGTACCCATGACATGGCATCATTAATAGTTTTTGGAACTTTTCTTGGGGAAGTTAAAATAATTTTCACCGCGAATAGAAAATATTTGAATATATAAAGTAATGGGGAAGACAAAGCTTACCAAAATAAGAGAATCCCTTAATTTTTCACAGGGATCCCTTCTGGGCCCTACCCTATTCAATATTTACGTGAACGACATCCCCACTACACACAATACAACACTAGACATGTATGCAGACGACACAGCGATCCTTACGCAAAGTGCATTTGTTAGTTCAGCAATACAACAGCTACAACACCACATCCACTCGCTAGAGACTTGGCTGACCAAATGGAAAGTCAAAGTGAATGTCGACAAGACACATGCCATACTGTTTACTACTAAGAAGAATTTCCCGACTCACCTGCAAATGTATGGTGTGGACATTCCCTGGGTCAAGCAGGTCCCTTATCTAGGGGTGATCCTCAGTAAATCTCTTACATGGAACCCACACGTTACACATATTCTCAGGAAGTTTCGAGCTAGTAAAGCTTCACTCTTCCCCTTAATTGCTCGAAACAGTGTTCTATGTATTGATAATAAGTTGCTCATTTACAAAACCATGCTGCGTCCAATTCTTAGTTATGCATGCCCCGTCTGGGCATACTCGTGCAAAAGTCTGAGAAGGTAGTTACAAGCTGCCCAAAACGGGGTATTGCGTATGATATGTAATGCCCCCTGGTACATTCGGAATAGCCAAATTCGTAAAGAGTTAAGAATAGATTATCTTTGTGATTTTCATTGCCGCCTATCTAGGGCATTTTATGATAAACAGGAACTTCTGGACAATCCTGTGGTTATTAACTATTGTTATGATACTAGGGATTCCAATTTCAGTAAACCCCCAAGGGCGATCCTAAATGTTAGTAATATGTAATTTTGTATATGTGTTATGCAAATTGTTGCTCAGTTTCTTTATTGTATATTGTTCTTTTTTCCTCCTGATTGCATTTTGTTTTTACTAGTGGCACTAAGGCGTCGCACTTCGTATTTTGTTTCTCTTGTGTGTACATGTATTCTTCTGTGTGAAATAGTGTTAAAAATAGTTAATTATGTATGGATTAGTAATTAGGTACTTAAGGTAAAAATATGTATTTAACTATTAGCAATTATGAATTTAAACTCTTACTCATTTACTTATTTAGCACATTCAGTTATATTTCTCATAATTCGAAACTTTTATCATGTTATTCGATGAGGGGTAGGGCTATGGCGCCCAGGCACCCTGCTGGTTAAGCACCGCAGTTCAATGTACAGTTCTATAGAAATCTATTAGTTGAAAAATTTGAGTTTCGCTCCAAGGAAATACAGCCATGGTTATTATTCCAAATGAGAAGAAAAGCACGTGATCACTTAAAGCAATCTTATTGGCCAGAGACTCCGATTTTATCGTATGCTAGTGAGCGGTGAACACCATTTCTAAAATCGCGACCAAGGAGGTTCCTCCTTGATCGCGACAGAGAACATGACCGAATTTTGGCGCATGCGCAGATTCTTAAAATTGTTGCTCTACGAGAGAGTCGGTCGAGAAAATCGCTTCGTGTAGACGGGCCCTTAGCAATAAACCATCAGCTTACAGAGAATTTTTTTATTTGTACTAAAGCGCTTACATAGGATTGTTCGTCCCGAACGCGCAGATTTCGAAAACATGTCTTTGCACAACTAGCCCGACGTTTAGTATTGACACTGCGTACGGGCTAACCGTCCGTCGTCGGACGGGCAGACACTTCGATTTGCTTATGTTTTGGGCGGCAGCTTGGAAATCTGGAGTGGGTAAACAAAAGGGAGAATGGTTTCGTTCTTGTTCTTGGTGATCGAAGTTATATTTGTGCCTTCCTTTCTACATGGTAACTGCTTCTTTAATAACTGTGTGGCAGTATCTTATGTCAATTTTCTTTTTTTCAGGTGCATTAAAAATACCTTATTTGTCGAAATAGGACGAGAATTTCGTTCAATCTTCGTGAACCGAGTATATTATCTTAAGATATTTGCGGCCCCATACATTTTAAGATATTTATTTGGGTAAACTTATGGACTTAATAAATGACACCATTTAAAGTAAAAATGTATTGTTTAACTTTTACTTTGTATCGAATTGATAATCATATTTAGATTGCAGGAATGAAAAATCGTTAAATTTGATATCCATAAAATTTATTGTCAAAATATTTTTTCAAGCAGTTGTATTAAACTTTTATAAAACCTTATCTTCTATTCAAACAGCGATTCAATAACTAGAGAACCGCCCCACTTCTTGAGATCTAAACCCAAGTTCAGAGGATTTATATGAGATATATTTGATCTTTATATGAGATATATTCTTGAGATCTAAACCCAAGTTCAGGGGATTTATTCAAGTGTGTTATATATATATCATACACTTGATTCCTCACTATATATATATATAATAGGAATCATAAATTCTTTTTGTAAATTCATTTATCTACGATTATGAATGTAAGGGGCATATGAAAATAATTTTAAATTTGTGATCTGTTTTTTCAGAAGTGTATATGTTATGTGATTCAGTGATACATAATTATTGTTTTACATCTAATGGTAAAATCCTAGTATACGGTGCAGCCTTGGCGCTATTTTGAAAATTATCGCCAACACCAAAAATGATCCAAAGAACGTCTATATATATACTATACACTATGTACTATATGTGTATATACACTATATATATAGTATATACTATATATAACCATATGTATTCTTTGAATGACCTGTTTACTACTCATCGTATATGTTGCGTTTTTACTGCTCATCATAAAGTCGCCAAATCCCGTGTGCACCGGATGCTAGGATTAAACCCATCTAATACCTGAGACACTGTTTTGAATAGTAATTAGTCAAGAAATGAATCTGATGCTTTAGTCATTCTCGTCTCTCAGTTTTAAAAATTAAAAGATGTATTTTTTAAATTTCATCATGTTTATATGATCATTTAAATATGGTGAAATATGAGAAATTTTTAACATGTCAAGTGCAAAAGTCTAGTTATTCATTCAAGATGTTATAAGTTAAAAGGGAATGTTTCTTCATTTATGTATTTCTTTTTGTGTAGCTTCTTATCAGCAAATGATGGTGAGAAGTGTTTTGTGTAGCTTCTTATCAGCAAATGATGGTGAGAAGTGATGTCCAAATGAATCAAAATAACTTCTTCATTATCTTACATCTTTTGTCCAGTTTTTTTTTAATGCCATATTTCATAACATTTTGTGGGGTAAAGTGCAGAATCGCCCTCTTATTTGTTTGGCGCTTTTTACAAGAGTAAGAAGAATAGGATTTTTGTCAATTTTCTTTGACTTTTTAAATGAAAATATGTTGATGTGCACATGGATAAAGTCATGGGAGTGCACAATGCCATTTTTATGCAATTCTGAAATTTTGGTTGATCTTTACAATATGTACATGGATACCGCGTTTGTGCAATTCTTAAAAACGTGCCAAGCAGTGGGTGATTCTGCACTTTCCCCATTTTGTGCATCATACTAAACTCACCTGTTTTCAAGACTTATATTTAGTATCCTCTGAATGTTACATTAGGAAGAAAAAGCTGTTAAAATTTTCAGTAGAAAATTTACCTGTACTGTCTTAATGTGATACGAGATGTTTTATATTGAAGTCAGAAAATTCTAGGTCAAGTTTTAAATTGCAAATGAGTCATTAAATCTCTTTCATGACATTTCTTCATCAGTATTGTGTGGTTTTTCGTATCCCTTGTTTCTCCTTGGCATTTAAAAAAATTTACTTTTCTTTTTAGATGGGCTCATGTTAATCAGTTTCTATCTGCAAAAAATTTCTGTAATGAATCCTTCATTCCTGATTTGTGTATCTTGTTCCTATAGTATCCTTTTTATTCCCAGAGAATGTAATTCATCTTTTAATTTCAGACTTCTGTATCGAAATATTTAGCATCTTCACTTTGCTTTTAGAAATAACATTGCCCCAGTATCTAACTTCAAATTAAGTCTATTTATATTTATATGAACGTCAACAGTCCATTTCTCTTATTTGTTATCCAAACTAAGGCTTAATGTACCCACATAAAATTCTAACTCTTCCTCAGAGTTATGATTTAGTAATTTAATTCTTTTTTCCTTTAATTTTAGCATAAATTTGTACGATCCGTAATTTGGCTCCATTGCTGCATATCTGCTTGGCATGTCTCAAACCAAAACATTTCACATAGATACATCGTTGAACTCATGCCAACCTGGTGAATCATTAATATACTTTCCTTTCATCACCGCATGTTTATGAACACATGACAACTTGTGAGTTATGACTTGAGTAGTGATGCCTAAACAATTTTTTTTATGTTAGTAATTGAATAATAAAGGGTATGGTAACCTTTTATGTTGACATTACGCTCAGCGATGATTATAAATTTAAGTTAAATGCGCTATAAATGTTGATGAGGAAAAATGTAACAAAAATTTCTTTCCATATGCTAAAAATAGATTTTGTTGATGATACTCATAGACCCTAAGATTACATTTAGGGCTAATTGAATTAAGAATAACTGATTTGTTATTCACATAAACCCAGAACCAGTGCCAGGGCTCGTAAAGCAGCACCAGGTCGCAGAATTTAGGTCCCACAAAGACTGCATCAGGCGGTAAGATATCTAGTGCCGGCCGTCAATAAGGCTTAAGTATATGTGGGAATTTATTTATTCAGAACTCTGATAAGCCTTTAAGAATATGCAAGAAATGGACATAAGTATAATAAATAACTAAACTAGTACAATTCAAACTTAAATGTTTTAGTGTGTGATAGAAGCAAGATAAAATTTAATGGAACAACTTGTCATTGCTCGCCAAGCTCATGATGCATATACTTAAATGTGTGTAGTGAACGATAGCTAAATTTGAAGTTGATAGCTGCTAATTTTAAAGTTTTCGGATATCACAAAACAAAGGTGAAATTTTCCAATTAGCGAATTTTGCAAAGAAATGTGGAGATGTGGTAATAAATGAAGATGATGTAAAAGTTTTTCATGTAAAAGTTTTGTAAAGTTTTTCATTATGATGACAGTGCTTCTCAATCATCAATCAATTAATGAATGGCAACGTCTGTAGTATGGTTCTAGATTCAGAAAATACCACTATCAAATAGTGAAGAAAGTGACAGAGAAGTTACTGAAAACGAAAAAATTTTGATCGACAAGTTAGTCGGAATTCTCGACGCTGCAGTTACAGGACTTCAACGATGTAACTGAACAAGAGATTATGTCTGTCTACAGAATTAAAGAGAATGTATTAGCGCAAAAAAAATGAAGCAACTGAAACAACATACATTGAAAGACATGTTTAATAAAGTAAACAAATAAATATTAAGTTTTTTTTGTAAATTTTGATACCCTTTAGATCATAAATACTTCATTATTTCATAAATCACGATTTCATATTTTTAATTTTATAATTTCTTCATGCCATCTTATTAGATTTAAATTGATGATCTAATATCCAGCAAAATCTCAAATCTGGAATCGCCAAAGTCCCAGCGAGTCCAGATTTTGGACTTTGCACTGTATTTATTTATAAGTCTAGAATATTAGGTGTATTGAATGTACACAAATACAAAGCACTGCAATGCTAACACAATTCTGTTTTTACATGCATCTAAGCTGTTGCCATTCACAAGTTACTAAATACTAAATGTTGCCATTTACAAATTACTAAATACTAAATGTTACAGAGACTGACTGGTAGCATGTATGTTTCTATATTAATTTTTAATGGGAAAAACTGACTTTCTTGTGTATTGAAATTCAGTCTAAAATGTGTGTATGTATTTAAAAACATTTTCCTGTTGAACATCAAAAAAACTTCCATTGGCTAAATACTGCACAGCTATCGAAAGTATTTTAACGTCACAAGTTGTTTCATGTATCAAATGACATCATTGTAAAAAAAACATATTTTTAGGATTTGACGTATGCATCAAGTTTTGTATTACCTGAAATTAAATGTGTCAGTAACTTCATGCTTTTGATAGTGTACTTGGTAATACATAAAAAATAAGCAGAAATTTTAGTTATTTCAATTCTTCATGCTAAATGATACGAGAATGTATAGTAAATATTTCAACTTAAGTGTTTCAAATCATACAGACTGCCAGACTTCTAATATTTAATTGTCTATGTGTGTGGACCAAAATGAATTAAATAGAGTTGAATAAAAATAGCTTATGAATGTGCTTGCTAAGATTTAAAAAATTAGTTTGAAAATGGTGGTTAAAAAAATGGCTGGAAATGGAATTTCAAAGGATTATCTGATTACTGTGTTTTATATGGGCATCTGTATTAAGAAGGTAAATTAAATTAATGATATTTTGAATTTTACTTTTTTTTTGGTTTGAGCATTTTTTCTTCGAAAATGTAGTCTTGACCAGATATTACAATGTTATTATTCAAATACCTTTTAATGTACAATTTCACTTTTTTTACTTAATTTTTTTTACCTTTATAGGACTTGATAAAAATGAAGACATAATTACTATCCCAATTAAAACTGATGGGGCTAGAAGATTAAGCTACATCAGTGGAAACTCTGCAGTTACAATACATGTTCCTAATATTCCTTCAGATGTTATTGCATTGATCTTTGAGGCTCATACACAAGTTGAAAATATAACTGTATCACAGAATGAGAAGCCATCTATTCATTCTTCTATAACTGGCCAAAATATTGGAATGATTTACAAATTAGAAAATGCAGAATCCAAAGCTTCCATGTGGTTACTGAATAGAAGTCATAAGAATATTTCTGTGTTGATAATAATTTCAACTATACTTTCATATGGTAATATATTCTTATGATTCTAGATATTGAACATTTTTTTTTTCTTTTTATTTATAAAGTTGTAGTATTTTATGTTAATTAACCAATTATTATGATTTGAAGCTTTACTATAATATCTTCTTTCTGGAGTTCAACAAAAACTTTAAATTTAAAATTAATTTAATGCATAATTAATTTAGTACATAAACAATAGTAACACAAAGGAAAAAAATCAGATATATTTTCTATCTGATATCTAAAGGTTGGTACCTGCAAGAAATTTCTTTTGCTTAAACTTTGTAATTCAAATATATTGACAGCTAAAATTTTTAAATTGAAAAAAAAAATTAGCATAAAATATAAAATTGAACTCATGCTTCCAAACCCTATTTAGGAAAATTTTATACTTGTTATAAAAAATAAAATACGAAAATTTGACTCCCATCTGACAAAAATTGCCTGAGATATTTAATTTCAAAATTTACAACATGTGACATCATTCTGAATTTGCATCGAGAGGTTGATTAATAAATAAATTAGACTAAATGAAGGTTGATTTTTTTCCCCTTAAGTGCCATTCGATGATATAGTTTTGTGATTTACAAGCATCTTTGTTCATAAATTAGTTATAATTTTTCTTTGTATGCGGAAAGAATTTTCATACAAGTAATTTATAAGTTTTCATAAATCTGAAAATATGGTATTAATAGTCTGATGAAGTTTTATTATTTTAGATTATAGTCATTATCTGATAGAAATAAAAAATTCATTTTTAATTTTTGTAAGTAATACTGCAAGTTGATTTGAGACTGTCAGTGTTAGAAAGCACAAAAATTCTATTCGGATTCTGTGACTAAGATCTATATTTTGAAAAAAAAAAATACATATATATATAAATCAATATTTTTCATAAAAATCTAATCATGTAATCTCATAACATCAGAAAAATTTTTTGAATGGTATTTAATTTTTATTTATGGACAGGTGCACACATATTGTTCGCTTTGTGTATGGCCCCTGAATAGGAGTCCCAATTTTAATATCAACTACCTCAGTCAGTTTTTATCAGATGAAAGTCAAACATTTTGTGCTTTTTTTTTATAATGAGCTGTTCAATTTGTGTATGGCCATTGAATATCATCCCTAATTTTAATATCAAATATTTCGTTCAGTTTTTGTCATATAAGAATCAAGCATTTTGTGTTTTGTTTTTGTAATAAATGCAACATTTATCTTTAAAAATATGAAATCATATAGCTTTGCATCATTTAAAACATTTTTGTAACTGGGAATATGGCCCGTCATAAAAATAAAGGTAATTTAAGGACATTTGCTTACACTGTAAAAAAAATGCAAAGAATTTAATTACCGTATTTGATGGCATATAAGACACACTTTTTTTCCTAAATTTGGTCTCAAAAAAGTTAACTTGCGTCTTATACGTGAAGGTTAACTTTCAATACTGAACGCCATTTTTAGCCTGGATAAAGGTCTAGACACATATAACTTTTTCTACATCTGCCATAATTATTTTGCGCATGCATGAAATATCTGTTGCCAAAAAGCGCCAAAGCTCGAAGCTGATGTCGAAGTTCAAACAGATTCGACGGTCACATTACGTCTATGGAGCCTTTCCTTCTTTGCATAGACTTTCTTTGATTCAGCCGACTCAGCTTTGAATTCGGCCTTAAGACATAAAGATATTGGTTTAAAACTTTTTTAATCATTTCTAAAATAAAACTGTTCAGAGGGTATGCAAAACCGCAATGTCTTGTAACTGGTTTACGGCAGGAAGAAGCAAATGATTTATGCAAATGCGCTTTACATGTAATTTGATTTTTCAGATAAAAGTCAGCGTATTTGTCAGAGTTCTCATTGTTACAAATCAACAATGTCTCTAACCATGCAAGACCTAGTGGTACTCTCTCGTGAAATGTTATTATCAATATGATAGCAATGAACGGCATGCTTTGCAAAGATATCGTTCAATAAGAGAAATGCACCGAGGGCCAATGACACTGCAAGCCTTCAGGAAAATGATGGCAAAGTTTGAAGCCACGAGTTTGTTATCTGTGGCACCTGAGACTGGAAGGAAACCGAGGAGGTTGTTGCATTAGCAGTGGAGGAAGCAACAATGGAAAAAGCATGTATAGTACGTGCTGTTGCACATTCAATGGATGTACCATGGTGTTAGATACTAGCCTCAGTTGTTATTTTTCTTTCATAGTTTGTAACTGTAAGAGTGGCAACCATCTGATCTTTGTGTAGTTCTACTGATTTTGAAAATAAATATGACACTTTGGAATATTAGATGTAAAGCTATCTTATTTTAAGTTTATTAGGAGAAAGGAGAATGGTTAGTTCTTGCAAATCTCGAACAATTTTGGTGGCGACAGAAGTTATCGGTAAAACAAGTAAAGGTAATTTTATTGGTTTTATCGAATTTAATTTTATTTGACTTGATATTGAATTTATTTTTATTGAAATGGAATCGTTAATTGAGAAATGAAACCTGTCAGAGCGTCTTTTATGAAAACAATTAATGCAATTTTGCAGGAATTAGAAAAGGATATTCCTGATGAAAAATCTGTGAAAACGAAACTTGTTACTTTAGGACATTTATCTGTTTAACTTAATGTAGTTTATACTCAAATATTAAATTGAGAATTTTCTTCAAAGGATAAGTTTGAAAATGAATGGAAGAAAGTTGAAGAATGCAAAGAAAAATTAGATTTAATACAAGTAGAAATGGAATTATTTTTCAATCGCCAAATGACACAGTCCATTGGCAGTGTGCGGCCAAATTCGAACAAATGGAAACTGAAATTACCTAAAATAGAGTTAAAGCAATTTGGTGGCGAAATTAAAGATTGGTTACCGTTTCGGGGACAATTTCGGTGAATGTACGAAGATAAAGAAATTCAAAACGAGGATAAGATTTATTATCTCGTTCAAGCGACCGTACCTGGTATGAGACCACGTGATATTGTAAACAGCTTCCCTGCAACTGTCAAAAATTATGAAAAGTTATAGAAAGCTTAAGAAATAGGTTCGGCAGGGAAGGATTGTTGGTAGAATTCTATATTCGGTATTCGGGAATTATTAGGTCTGATCATTAAAAATTTCATTGATCAAAAGGGAAAATGCAGTAGATCAGAATTGTATGACAAGTTAGAATCATATTTATGTTCGTTGGAGTTAATAGGAATGACGAGTGACAAATACGCTGCAATGTTGTTTCAGCTCCTTGAATCTTGCATTCCTGAGGAAATTTTATGAGTTTGGCTTAGAAATCATGCATCAATAATTACAGCAGAAAATTCTCACTCTGAGAAATTGAAACAAATCTTATTGTTTTTAAAGAATGAAGTGGAAGGAGAACAGAGAATTTCTTTGGCAAAAGCTGGATTTAAATTAATTGATTCGTGTGCAAAGAAAGAAAGTAGAAGTGATAAAAGGTACCAGGAGGAACATTTCATGCCTGCAGCGAATGATTTTTTCTCAGGCCATAATAAAGCAACCAATTATAGTGAAAAGAATTCTTGCATATTTTGCGGAAAAAATCATGAAATTCGAGATTGCTTTGTTGCTCAGAAGATGCCTCTGAGTCAAAAGAATGATGAAATTAATAAAAAGAAGGGTTGCTTCTTCTGCCTCAAAATTGGACACAGAGCCATCGTACATTGGTCTTGTATTGGCAAGACAAATGTACGATGTTTGATATGCTCGAAAAGACATTTGGGTGTCATATGTCCAAATTTGCCCACCAATCAAAAGAGCAATGATATTGAAAAGAATAAAGAAGAGGAAACACAAACTGTATCACTTGCGAGCACCAGTTTCCTAACATTATTAATTAATATCGACACAAACAAAAGGCAGAAGACAGTAAGGGCATTTATCGAAACAGGATCGCAACATTCATACATATTAAAGGAGACTGTAGAAATAGGGTGCCACACAATTGGATCTGAATCTTTAATTCATGCACTTTTTGGAGGAGTAACAGCAAAGAGAGAAATTCAGAAATGCTATGAAGTGAACGTTAGAAGCCTAAGAGGTGATTTTTCTAGACAACTAATCTTGTTGGAACAGTCGAAGATTTGTGGACCAGTAGTCAGTTTACAGCCTGGACCATGGATAGAAGAACTAAGGCAGAAAAATATCCATGCATCTGATGTAGGAAAAAAGGATTTCAAAATAGAAGTTCTTATTGGAGCTGACGTTGCAGGTGCACTGTTAACTGGAAAAATTCAGAAATTAGAAAATGGGCTGACTGCTATGGAATCACTACTTAGATGGACAATCATGGGAAAGGTAAAAGATAACATTTCAGAAAGAAACTCCTTGTTCATGTCATCAACAGTAACATCGATGTTGACTTATAGCAGTGACATAGAAAACTTGTGAAAGCTAGAAGCACTGGGAATTACAGATGCTAAAGAAAATAAAACTGATTCAGAGTTAGAAAAAGCAGTGTCGGATCACTTTTACAAGACTGAAGAGGGTGGATGATCGATATGAAGTCAGTTTACCTTGGATCAACGATAAAGAAGCTTTACCAAGTAGCAGAGAAGTTGCTGAAAAACAATTGATTTCTACGACAAAGAAGCTCATGTTGAAAGATAAATTTGAAAGTGCAGTGTTCGAAGAGTGGCTCAAATCTGAAGTAATAGAAGAAGTAACAGAAGAAGAGAACAAGTTAACAATCATTATCTTCCCCACAGACTGATCTTCAAAAATAACTCTACAACAGCCGTAAAGCCTGTATTTGACGCTTCATGCAAGCAAAAGGATTTCCTGTCACTTAACAACTGTTTAACAAAAGGTCAAAATTTAATTGAATTAATACCTAGATTGCTTCTTGAATTTAGGCAAGGGAAAATAGGGATTATCTCAATTATTAAAAGAGCTTTTCTTCAAATATCTGTTCAAAGATCTGATTGTGATTGCCTAAGATTCGTATGGTGGAAAAACTCAGAATAAAAAGAAATGGGAAAATTTTGCTATTGCAGAGTAGT